AATGTACAATTAATCTCGATGTGGGGCTAAAACTCCAATGCATCACACAAAAAATCCATGTTGATAATCACAATTGTATGCTAGTATACAACATAAACAATATACTCCATTAACCTGCTCATGAAATAAATTATCAAATACCATAATAGTCTAAAGATAGATGATTTAAAACTGGGGCCCAAGCCACCTACGTAGTGGGCCGAGGCCATCATCCAAACCTAGGCCCAAGTCTCTGTTGTCGAGAATGTTCCATTATTGGCCTAACTATGTCAGCACGCCAAGCCTGGTCATCATTGTCTCGTGATTCTGTAATGATGTTATGAGTTAAGGGTGAGCGGACTTGATCTACCTGGACTCAATTACAGTTCTACACTTTTCCGCCTTTGGCCCTTTGGGCATTCGAGTTATGAATCTCCATGTCTTACATCACATGATTTTTTTTTTTTTTTTAATAAAAGTGAATTTTGTTGAAAAAAAGAAACGCAAACATTACAATGCAAAAACAAAAGAAAGAAAATAAAACATTACAGAGAAAGAAAAAGGTAATGCTAGGCCCAAGGAAATTCTCTAGATTGAGATCTAGTCGTCATGCTGTGACGCCTTTTATTCTTTAGAGATTTCCTGTATATTTTGAGTTGTGTGTTCAGGTTTTCCGTTGGCAGGCAATTTTCTGAGGTGACATACTTTGATTTTCTGCAAATTGCTCTGTTGAACTTTGATTTCTTAATTTCTGTCGGAGTTGAGATAGGGGGACGACGATCACTTTCGGTTGCATGTCCCAGAAAGTCGTCCATGAAAAAAGAGTCATCTGATTGATAAAAGTTGTCTGATGCATCTGAATAAGCCTGAGCAAGCCTGTGTTGTTCCATTGGAATTAGAGCCCATTGATTTTCTGAGTAGGCTCCTTGAATTTGGGAGTAAAAAATAAGCTTAGATATTGATTTTGGCTCGTCTATAACTGACGTGGGTTCTTGCAGCCAGGGCATTGGTGTCTCCTGCATTAAATTAGTTAGTTCAACGAAATTGGAAAATATTTCCATGAAATATTTTAAGTTGCAATTTTGTGGGCCCATGGGGATTATAATGAAGCTCCCCTTCTCTTTAGCAATCCTAAGGTAGCGTCCCGCGTTATTGAAATTCGAAGAGACCGTGATGGAATCGAATCGTCTGCTTTGCCTACAAAAATTTGATCCGGTGAGGTGGTTGATAAATCGGTAGATGTCTAGAGCTTGCCCTTTTTTGAAATTAATCCTGTGTAACGAGGATTTTTTAATTTCAAAGATGACAATTTCATTCTGTCTGCGAGCAAATCTAAAGGATTTTGATTCAATTTTGATAGAATCAAAGCCCTCCTCCCCAAAGAAATGGAAAATTTCAGTATCCTTAGAAAAATCATCCGTCTGATTTATTTCGAAAAGCTCCGTATGTGCACAGAGATCTGAGTCTCCGCAAATAATGGCCTTTTCTTTAACCAAAGAGTTGTTTGTAAGTGAAGGTGCGTAGACAGCCTTAGCTTCCTCTTTGTCTGTATCCATCCTGACTACATCAGCCCACGTGATAGCAGGTGTTCTTGTCTCAACGATACATTGGATGTGGACGGCGCGCTTGTCAGCAACGATTCCTGGTGACCTTGTCTCCACAACAGACCTGCTGTCGACGATGGGCTTGTCAGCCTCGTGAGCTGGACCCGAAGAAGATTGAAGATCAGCTGCGTGAATCTCCAGCCGTCGATTAGGGTGGTTGTGTACTTTTCCGGTTGGTGGTTTCACATATCGGCAATTGCGACCATTTCTTCTAAATTCTCTCCCGTTTCCGTAAATCTCCCCCCTACTTCCCTGATTGATGTTGTAATTGGGCTTGCTATCCAATTCAATATCAAAATCGATGTTTTCATCTTCGAGTCGTAAGCGTTGGTAACGGTTTGCGCAACCAATTGCATAAGGATTTCCGGACCTGGATTGTTGGTGCGTCGGACCTCGTTTGTTGGGGTGAAGGGGGTGATAACGTCCCCTGTATTTCACCGTGTGCCACCCATTGTCCTTTTCCTGTGCCTGGCGTTGCTGCTGTGGATGTTTTTGGTCCTGATGACGCTTAAACTGGGGTAGCGGATTTGGTCCTGTTTTCATCTCATTTTGGTAACGGGCTGGGGGGCTATAGTGGTCTTGTGCGTTACGACTGAGATGTAATGTCCGATTTCTATTCCTACTAGTTGGGTAACAACAGGTGCAGCGCCGGTATCCAGAGCCAGGGAAGAGTCTGGTACCTGATGAGATTTCTCCATTCCCGATGAGTCTGCTAGACAACCGCGTAGATTGGGGATGAATATACCGGTGGTGTTGGTAGGTCCCGTTGTTGTAGCAAGGGGATATCCCGTTTGAGCAGCGGCATATTTCCTGGAGAAGTAGGTGGTCATTCCGGCTGCGAGAGTGATGCCGGAATTCCATCCGTAAAGTTATTTAGTCGGTGGTTTTTTAGAGAGAAGGAGGAGAATCTCTCTCTTCATTTTTCACAAAAACATAATTATATAAACACCCACATGATCACAACCACTATCGCTGACACCGTGGTACAACTTCTAAGGACTAACATCACTTGTGGTATAATGGTCCAGCTCTCAAGGACTATCATCATCACTGATATCATCCTACATAAACATGACGTACTTTCGGACATTCCAACATTTTCAAAGCCCACTTGTCAGCTTTTGATCAGCTAGCATTTTTGGCCTTTTTGTCTAGTTCATGCATTTTGCCCATATAAATAGCAAGTTCCCATCTTAGAAAGGGGATCCCTATTTGTAGCTTGCACTTTTACTCAGCTAAAAATAATTCACAACTTTCTCACTCTAAAATAAATAACACTTTCACTATGTAAACCGGTTTGAGTATGAGGTTCACTATTAATTAAATTATAGTGAACCCGTGCCTGTTAAGGGCTGAACCGGCGTCGGTTTGATCTTGTTTTGCCCAATGAGGTATTTTTGCATGGTTTTGCATGGATTATTGTGCTTAGGCTATAAGACTTATCTTAGTCTTGATTATTGATTATGATATAGACCATAATCAGGTAAGATGCATGGTAGGTCATGGCAGACCAAATTTGATTTGATTTAAATCAAGCAAGAAACATACTTTATTTCAAAGTCAAAGTCATTGAAATAAATGTTCAGCTAATTTGGTAGATGGAAGCTTATATTAATCTTTCTATCAAAATGCTTGTGTATTGAATTTCATATCTCAAAGACCTTCACACAGCTTCACATGGAGAAACATATCCACAATCAAAGTACATATTAACCTCATCCACATTGGTATTGACTTCTTCTCCATTACTAATTTGGTAAATGTCATTGTGACTCGATCATTGCACTTATTCACATATTTAAATGAATACTTGATAGATGTGAACTAATTGCACCACTCCACATTCATATGTGCGGCATATTTGAGCAACAAATATCTATTATGTGGTAAGACATAACAATTATCTAGATGTGCACCATTTTTCTATATCACTCTTCCATCATTTTTTGTTCTATAAAGTGGATATCCATTACCATTCACATTTAACCACATGCCGAGATTAAATTTCACTTTTACAAAACTGAATGAAGTTTTTCCCTGACAATTATCAATAGCGACCAGAAGATTTTACTTTACATGTGTGCGCGCCCGTGTGTAGGAGATGGTACAAGTGAGACCCCCCCTTTAAAATGAGAACTCATTTATAGATGAGAACTTCTAATCAACACACTCGATTTATGGAATCAAGAGTAAGAATTAATAAGGTGACATTTTTGTAATAACTCTACAATAATTACAAAGAAGACCCCATTTGAATTTTAAATAATTACACAAAGTACCCCATGTGCATCCTACCAATGATTGAATTAAATAAAAAGGTTATGATTAAAAGTTCTCACGATAATAATTTCTCATTTTAAGATGAGTTTTCACTAGAACCCTCCCATATACTACCTCCGTCTAGATAGACGTTGCCAAGTGCAAATTAGGTGAGAAATAAGAATAGTAAAAATTGTGTGGTTGAGATTTGTGCAGAAGAGAGAGAAATGCGCAAAACCACAAATTAATTGCTTTAATAGGAAAGTGTCAAATTTTTGTGGGACAACAAAAAAAGGTAAAGTTGGCAAAGTCCAATGGGACGGAGGGAGTATATATCAAAGCGTTGAAGTTCACAAGTACAAAGCGTAGAAGGAAAATATAATATATTTTGAATGTGTTTTGTAAAATATGACTTTATCTCAAGTAGTGTTGTGACTAAGCTTGATACAATGGAGTATATGGGTTTGAACCCATGATACATAATTTTTATTTGACAATAATTATTCCTACCCCGAACAACAACAAAAATCACCATAAACACATCGTATGTAGGCTCACCTCTAGTCGATGAGCCTCCATCCTTGCACTCATTGAGGGGCTAACTTTGCGTAATTTGTGAGCAGTGCCACCTCAAAATACATGATCTTAAAATAGTGGTACTGAATTTATTTGCATATAAAATTTATTTATAAGTTTATGGACAATTAAAGTTGTTAGAACGGGCCAATCTATCTGACTAGACTAACCTCGTGTTGGGTTATGTTTTTCGTGGGTTAGATAGGCTAACTCATTCGATAACTTTCCAGCTTCCTTTCGGTGACTCAAATTCCATTTGTTTTTTCGGTGCACAAATAAATATATAGGTGAAAAAATTAAAAATATGATGGTGAAGGTGGAATATGAATAGAAGATGAAAAGGAAAGAAGGAAAAAATGAAGAAAGAGAAAATAAGAGTGGAAATTTGTCTCATAGATGAGAGAAGGGAAAAAATGCTTTATAAGCACACTAAAGGGTTGTTTATTTAGAACTTAATGGGGATGGGGACTTAGCCATTCAGCTATAAAGGTGTGTTTATTTGCAACTTAACAAAAAACACAACTTATTCGCTCAGACAAATATTAACTTATTCATTCAGCAAAAAAAACATACTCCTTTCGATTTAGACACGCTAACGGAAATGCTTTCTCTATTTTAACCCCAAATAACGAGTTTCTCATCGTCCTCATATGCAGCAGAGGCGATCATCTTCTCCCAAAGAAAAAGTACCTGAAATCGGCCTCTACCATCATGTATGTCTCAGAATTTTACCCCCGCCATTCTTCCTCAAGATTGACGCATCTTATTTGCTCTCTCATGTCGGTCAAAAATCTGGCATTGATGGTTTGTCAACTTTATTTGCATTTCTATTTCAAAATTTCCATGTATTCTTTTTAGGACATTTTTATCAATTAAATATGTTTTCTGCCTTCGAAAAGATTAGATAAAAATTGTAATTGATAAATTCTTGCAATAATGTATACCTCCAGAAAGAATAGATGAAAAGTGTAGTGCGGATGATATTCACCCATGGTATTCCCTTAATGTATACTTTTAACGGAATAATCATCCACATCATTCCCTTAAAGTGGATTGAACGTATGAACATCTCCAATTTATGAGAACTCTTAAATCGTGATTGGAATTTTGCAAACTTTTAGTTGCTGTAGTTTTTTTTTTAAAATTGTTAGTTGTTGCAGTTTTTTTAAATTGGTAGTTGCAGTTTTCTCAAAGTGGTATAGCAGCTTCTTCATACATAGTTTAGTAGTTCGTTTTCTCCATTTTGTGGGCATAATGAGCTCGTGTGGGTAGGCCGTTCACTTCCTAAACGCCTTTTTTTACATTAGAAAACGCTGCAAAATGCAGCGTTTAGGTTGTGAACCGCCGAAATACAAACAGGGCCAATATATATGCATTGACAACATTGCATTGAGAATACTTTTTGCATTCTTTAAGTTGCACAATGTCTTTTTTTCAGCGTTTCTTAAGAAGATGTATACCACTAGTCACTAATACGAGTAGTAGTTATATTGATCCGGATGAAAAATGTTCACTTTTAGTTTAAAATTTGTCGTTTTCATACACTATAATTTGTAGCAAGTTACTTCTCCAGTTTTTTCATACACAATGTTAAATGCGATTTAATACATAATTTTGGTATTCGTTTTAGGATGGGGGATGTGGATATTTTTTGTGGAAGGAAGATTTGTCATGCTCAAGGGAGTCAAGGCAGCAACAGAATGAAGTTGAAACATGTATCACTTGTTTAGGACTAAAATCATATGCACTTGAAGAGCTAAGGACATTGATTTTATATGTGTGAAGCGATTTAGAAATGGTAAAAGCGGTTGTCCAGAATGAAGAAAAAGAAAATCTATTTTTGTAGAGAACCTCTCAAGTATTTGTAATAGGTTTTTTTGCCACTTTTATGGTAAATTGTAATAGTTGTCCTAAATGAATGATGTAATCTCTCGTTGAGTACTTGTACTTGTAGACTATAGTCCTACTATTCCATCCATGTATTGTTGTGTTAATTATTTATACTAGCATGCTACATGTATGGTTGTTGCAGTTTTATCAATAGAATTAGCTTTAAATATTAGTTTGATGTATACAAATGGATCATTAATGTCATCATGTGTCTAAAAATGAACAGAGTGTTTTATGAACATGGACGTGTTTTAAATATAATTCTTGACTTCTACGTAGTATTTATCATGTAATACGACACTTTATTTAAGTAATTTATAGTATTATTATTTTTAGACATATAAAATTATCTTTCAGAAAAGTAAACAGAAAATATACATTTAACACTTAATCCAGACACAAGGGTTATTTGGTCATTTGATATGATTCAGACTTCTCATTCAGCACACTTAGTAAACAGTGTGTTATCCCATTGTCACTTAATATAGACAGACAACTTAATACAGACAGACGTCACAATGTATTCAAGACTTAATAAAAAAAAGTAAACGACCCCTAAATTTCATACCCCTTGAGATTTCCTCTAGATAATATCTTTTTCTATGACATAGAGAATTCACCTTTTTCTATGACACAAAAAATTCATTTTAATAAAATAAAAAATCTATCTTAATATAAAAGGAAAAGATTTTGATGAATAGAGTTCCCTCCCAAAAATGTCAACATCATTATTTAGTTCTGTTTTTGATGAAAATAATTGCAAAACCAATTTTTCTGTCCGGTTAAATGCAGGCCCGAGAATGTTAGTTAGTTGTTGAAATTAGTGGGATAAGAGTTGTCCAGATTTTATTGGCCTACAACAAACGTGAACAGTTTACTAAATAAGTACATTTTGTTCTATTGGCCAATGTGGGTGGTTGCCACTGTTCACTACAGAAGTTTGACTGAAATGAAGTACTCCTATTGGCTCAGCCGGGTGGCAAATCTCTTTGAGTAATTGAAAATTGATGGGCAAAGATTTTGTGATGCTTGATTACTATTGGTGTGGTGGAATAGTAAACTCTCTCATTTGCAAAACTCAGCTGCCTATTTAAGGACAATGCGGAGGCATGGGTCATGAAGGCAAGAGCTGCAAGGCCTGACCACGATGGCTTTCCACCATCCTTGGAAGTGGATCTTTCATGATGAAGAGGTTTTTGAATTCAGATTTGTATTAATATTTACAGTAATATTCTTCTAATATCTATGCTATAACATTGAAGACATTGCACATCAGATCAATCATTTATGCATTGTTTCTCTATTCAGAACAAATCTTGAGATATTCACAGGTTAGCATTCTTTTGTTTTTTTGGTGTCATATTCACAAGCAGGCATGGCCTCGGTTCGGGCCGCCCGGCCCGGGACCGGCCCGACCCGCTACTGTGCGGGCCCGGCCCGGCCCGGTTATCCGGGTCCGGGTCCGGTTCGGGCCGGAGGCCCGGGGGTGGGACGGTTCCGGGCTCGGTTCATGGTTTTGACGGCCCGGCCCGGCCGGTTCGGGCCCGGGTCCGGGCCAAATCTATTTTTTTTTTAATTTTTTTCATTTGTTTTGGGCTGTTGGGCTTGGGCTATCTGTTTAGGCCGGTTTGGGGGGGTTTGGGGGGGTGGGGGGGTGGGGGGGGTGGGGGAAGAAAGGAAAAAAAAAAAATTAAAACGGGTGGCCCGACCGGCCCGGCCCGGCCCGGCCCGGAACCGGTGGCCACCGGTTCGGGCTCGGGCCCAACAAAACAGACCCGAGGCCCGGCCGGGCCTAGGCCTGAACCGGGCCCGAACCGGCCCGGGTCCATCCATGTTCACAAGTTTGAGATGAACAGAGTTGGTTCATGGTAAATGAACAGATACACAATACAAACATGGACAGCCTCAATAAATGCAGTTGGAGTTTATAATACTAGGTATTCAATAGTGAAATATTTGAAGACTATTCATAAATGGAATCTAAGCTTGATCATATCTCCTCACGAGATGAGCATAGCACTACAACCATGATGTTTGTCATGACTATAAGAATACAGGGCTAGCATCTATAGCATATGGCCATTTCTTATAAAATACTACACTTGTCCTAACTCGAAACACATGATAGCATACATATGAAAGAAGTAACTATTAATCTTAATCTTGTGAATTTTATTTTCAGATCAGTGTTTAATAAACATATATAGGTATAAAAAAATCATGCCTATGTTAGCTACTCCCTCATCTTTAAAATCTTTCCATTTCAAAAGTAGGTAGATTAAGAATAGTGAAAGTTGATATGAATTATTGAGGGTATGATGGGAAAATAGTGGAATAATGTGGTGGAATGTAGGATAAATCCAAAAAAAGTAGTTGTAATAGTGTATTATTTTAAGAATTATTGAAGGTATGATGGGAAGATTTAGAAATGGGAAGATTTTTGTGTTACGAACGAAAAAGGAAAGTGAGAAGATTTTTAAGTTACGGAGGGAGTATAATACTACTCACCTTTTAACAAAGATCACCTCTTAAGCTGAATGCATATGCACACAAATAGAATATTCAGATCACTAGGTCAGTGTTTAATAAACATAGGCATAAAAAAATTAAAATCATATATGGAAGTGTGGTCTTAACATATGGATCGGAGTATTAAAATTCCTCCTTCAGATCCACACGAATGGAAATAAGTGAATCGTGTGTTTTCTGCGATTTTTAGCTCCAAATGACATGCATACAAATATAATCTTTAGATTACTAATCCAAGTACGCAGACATAAAAAATATTCAAACTCAAACCTGGAAGTGTGTGAGAAATAATAAAAAACTTCCTTCAAACCTTCATGAATACTACGTATAAATCAGTGTGTGTTCTCACCGATTGCGATTCTGATATCACATATTCACATGCATACATATATATTTATCAGATCTGTTTTCCATTTACTCGGTAACTAAAAAATGAAAAATAAAAATAAAAAAATATATACTACCTCCGTTCTTAAATAAATGAAACATATGAAAATTTACATTATTCACATGTTCTACTTTGACTACGTTTTATTTAATAATGTATTAATATTTTTTTATGAAAAAAATATTATTAAATTTGTCTCATTGTAAATTTTCAAAATCTATTTTTTATAATTTTTTTACTAATACAAAATCATTTATATTGATGGTCAAAGTTGTGTCTCGACAAGTGTGAAATGTTGACCGCTGCATTTATTTAAGAACGGAGGGAGTATGATGTATTTACTGACAACGTTACTGCATCCGGTGTTGTGTTTTTTCTGCGAGTTCGCCGTTGAAGGACAAAGTGTGGCGAACCGATTATTTGATTTCGCTTTAGCCACCACCACGATGGCCGGGGAAACGTACGATGATAAATACTAATCAGTAAATAGTTTCCTTGATTGAGAGTTTGGGTTATAGGGGGTGTTTGGATCTGATTCTCAAAACTGATTCTGCTCCTTCAGGGAGCAGAAGCAGAAGCTGGAGTGTTTGGGTGAAATTCCAGAAGCACTTCTGGAATTCTAATTTACTCTCAGAATCAGTTTTTTTAGAAGCTGGGAGGTACCAGCTTCTGAAAACTGATTCTGATTCTGATTCTGCTTTTAAAAAAGAAGCAGAATAAGAATCAGTTCCAAACACCCCCATAGTCGGAACTGAGATACGAGGATGGAGTCGAAGAATTTAGAAGCTGGAACACAACCCTACAATTCTACAAATGATGTTTACGTGTGTCTTGGAGGTTGTGGATAGTTTTAATTTGGGCTGTCAAATTTAAATGGGTTAGTAGAAGTTGGATTTGGGCTTTTTGTATAAAACTATAATTAATTATCTGAAGTACGTGTATGCACTCAGGTCGTTAGTGAGAAAATACGGAGTAATTACTGGGGCATTTGAAAATTACAGATTTTCTTAAATAAATATGTAGTCTGTAAAAAAATTGTACCCAAAGTAACTTTACATATTTTTATGGTCCACTTATTTTCACCAATTTCCAATGTATTTGGACTGGATGATTTTATCAAATTAAACTTTTTCAATTGTTTGTACCTTATACCATACGATTAAAATAATGAACCGATATGTGGAGTAATAATTTATTAGAATTGGGATATCAATTTTGGATAAGTTTACACCCTATAGTCCTATACTCCCTCAGTCTTTAGAAGACACTGCATTAGGTGTATAATATTTAAGGGTAAAATGGTAGAGGTAATTAATAGGATAAAAAAATAGGGGAGAGGGTGAAAAAGTAGGAAAAACAAGATAAAAGTTAGAAAAAGTAAAGATAATTGGATAGTTTTAAAGGAATTTTTTATCTAAAAAAGGAGTAAAATATGGGGGATTATAAATTGTATTTAATTTGATATTTTTTTTAAAGTATCCCGCACATCCATTTGGGAGATCACATCCTCAAGGGTAATATTCTAAGTAGGTTTAAGACGGGTAGGAGGTTCTAATTTCATACACCCCCTTATACATACATATTTGAAAATATCCACCAAGTATGTACAGGTTCTAAGTAAACTGTTTCCCGTTTACGCATGTTGGGTTGTTGTTGAAAAAAATTATTTTTAGTCATGATCATCTTTATACGATTTAGTCAAGAGTAAGCAACCGTTAAACGTAAAAAATGGTACTGCACAAAAATGATGACATGAGAATGATATGTGAAACCAATAATTTTCTATATAAATAAGTTTTTCATAAAGTCAATGATAGGATGTAATTTGTTCTCAAATTACATTTGTATTGAGTGTTACTATTTTGTTAGAGTATACACATTTAATTTGTGTACTACTCCACAATCATTGATACTCCGTAAATCGTATTGAATTCAATTCATTTGACATCAAACTTCATAATTGTGTATGTTTTTTTTTTCTAATTTGAGTAAAACTTCACCCTTCAAATTTCACCAACCGAGCGTCGCACTGGAGTTATACTTATTTTTTGAATTAAGCACCACTATAAATTCTACCTGTTGAATGTGTTTCGAAAGTTATTGTGCTTAAATGATAGCATTACTTTTCATATTGAGTATTATTTAATGAGTATTATTTAATGATGCCATAACACACTTTCACATATTTGCGTACCCCCTGATTTGTCAATTTAACCGGGCAATTCATGTAAGAAATGCAATTCGTATAAATGCATTGTCACCATATTACTTGAGATGTGTATACTTATAGAAGTGAATTACTAGCAAAACATTTTACTAAAATAAGTGATTTTGACATAAGTTAGTGCGAGCTAAACTGTGTTGATTCATAAGCATTCCTATTAACTACTTCAAATGTTAACCCTGCGATGCACGATCAGTCGATGAGATATAGATGTACTATGACTGTAGATGCATTTCTGCGTGCGAGGTTGCTTGGTGCATATTTGGGTTGATATTCAATATAAGACCCGACAGTTGAGCCTTTGAGCTTCAATTTGCCGAGATAACAAAGTGTTGTCTTTCACGAGGATCAGTCTTTGGATTCAGTGGTTCAGGCATGTTAAGTTAAGGACAGTATGTTCAGAGCATGAATGGAGGCCAATAAGAAGTACCCGGAACTAATGCTTTAGTATTGTGAGCACAACAATTTCAATGCATATTTACAATGTTATGGTTTCAACGTATTTGTTGGATGTTTTTTTTATCTTTTAAGTAATGCTTAGTAATCTCATTTTGACCATAATATTATAAGCGTGTTTCGTTTAATGCTTTGATGTATATCAGTATTACATGAAGATAGATGTTGTCATTAATTGATAATGTGATTTGAATTACTAAGCACACATAAAATTGAAAGAAAAATTCTCAAACCGTGCATCGCATAAAAAGTTATATGTATAAATACTTATTTGAAGATTGTCTCATAAATTTATATTTTATAGTTTACAAAAGACATAACACATTTTCACATATCTGCACACCACCTGATTTGCCAGGTTACATCAGCAATTTTGTCAAAATAATGCAATTCGTATAGATAAAGACATAACACATTTTCACATATCTGCACCCCCCCCCCCCCCGATTTGCCGGGTTACATCAGCAATTCGTCTAAATAATGCAATTCGTATAGATAAAGATATCACACATTTTCACATCTCTGCACCCCCTGATTTGCCAGGTTAAATCAGCAATTCGTCTAAATAATGCAATTCGTATAGATTAAGACATAACACATTTTCACATATCTGCACTCCCCTGATTTGCCAGGTTACATCAGCAATTCGTCTAAATAATGCAATTCGTATAGATAAAGACATTACACATTTTCACATGTCTGCACACACCCCTGATTTGCCGGTTACATCAGCAATTCGTCTTAATAATGCAATTCGTATAGATAAAGACATTACACATTTTCACATATCTGCACACACCCCTGATTTGCTGGTTACATCAGCAATTCGTCCTAATAATGCAATTCGTATAGATAAAGACATGACACATTTTCACATATGTGCACGCCCCCCTGATTTGTCAGGTTTACATCAGCAATTTGTCTAAATAATGCAATTCGTATAGATAAAGACATAACACATTTTCACATATCTGCACCCCCCATCCCCCCGATTTGCCAGGTTACATCAGCAATTCGTCTAAATAATGCAATTCGTATAGATAAAGATATCACACATTTTCACATATCTGCACCCCCTGATTTGCCAGGTTAAATCAGCAATTCGTCTAAATAATGCAATTCGTATAGATTAAGACATAACACATTTTCACATATCTGCACTCCCCTGATTTCCCAGGTTACATCAGCAATTCGTCTAAATAATGCAATTCGTATAGATAAAGACATTACACATTTTCACATGTCTGCACACACCCCTGATTTGCCGGTTACATCAGCAATTCGTCTTAATAATGCAATTCGTATAGATAAAGACATTACACATTTTCACATATCTGCACACACCCCTGATTTGCTGGTTACATCAGCAATTCATCCTAATAATGCAATTCGTATAGATAAAGACATGACACATTTTCACATATGTGCACGCCCCCCTGATTTGTCAGGTTTACATCAGCAATTTGTCTAAATAATGCAATTCGTATAGATAAAGACATAACACATTTTCACATATCTGCACCCCCCATCCCCCCGATTTGCCAGGTTACATCAGCAATTCGTCTAAATAATGCAATTCGTATAGATAAAGATATCACACATTTTCACATATCTTCACCCCCTGATTTGCCAGGTTAAATCAGCAATTCGTCTAAATAATGCAATTCGTATAGATTAAATCATAACACATTTTCACATATCTGCACTCCCCTGATTTGCCAGGTTACATTAGCAATTCATCTAAATAATGCAATTCGTATAGATAAAGACATTACACATTTTCACATATCTGCACACACCCCTGATTTGCCGGTTACATCAGCAATTCGTCTAAATAATGCAATTCGTATAGATAAAGGCATGACACATTTTCACATATGTGCATGCCCCCCTGATTTGTGAGGTTACATCAGCAATTCGTCTAAATAATGCAATTCGTATAGACACAGACATGACACATTTTCACATATGTGCACCCCCCGATTTGTCAGGTCACATCAGCAAATCTTCTAAATAATGCAATTCGTATAGATGTAATGTCACCATATTATTTAGTAATTATAAAAAATTAATACCTTTAATTAACATATATAGACCTTTGATTTGAAAATGAAAAAAATCTTTAACAAAAATTTACAAAATTTTCGAATGTGAGTAAATAAGTTTGAGAATTCCAAAATAAGATTGTCAAGTTTTTTATTGTTATGCTTAAGGTCCAATTTTGGAATACATAAAACTTTTTTGCCCTATTTAGTGTAATTTCCCTTTAAACAAGGGTTAATGCATGCCAGACAGAAAGTACAAAGAAGTGTTTCATAAATTTATCCATGGAATGTAATTTCACTAATTTGTTTTCAAATGATGTTTATATTGCGTGTTACTTGCAATTTTGCGGGCTATAAAAAATAATGTACTACTCTGTAATCATTAGTAAATTGTATTTTATATGTTTCATTTACGTCAATATTTATTATTATATGGAATATAATTCTAAATAATTCAATTAAAACTACAAGTTTGTTTATTTTTTAATTAAAATGTTGTCTAATGTTAATTATACCCACAAAATTTCACCAATCGTGCATCGCACGGGTATTGATGAAGAAGAAGGAACCACTGAACAAGACTCAAAATGTTGTATTCAAAAAGTGTTCAACAATGTTGAAGGTTACATGAAATGTATATTTACAATGTTATGGTTTCTAAGTATTTGTTGGATGTTTTTTATCTTTTAAGCAATGATTGATGCTCTCTTTTTAACTATAATATATATCATAAGTGTGTTTTGATTATTGGTTGAATTTATATCAACATTACATGGAGATAGATGTTCTCATCAATTGATAGCGTAATTTGAATTATTGAACACAAACAAATTTGAAGGGAAATTTTCTGACCGTGCATCGCACGGGTGAGTTTACTAGTATTTATGAATAGACAACATGCCTCTACACGAGCATCCACAACTTGGCTTACAAAGTACAAACATACTTTAAAAAAAATTGGTACGTTTATACCTAACATTTTTTTATACCTAATGCTCTAACATTTTTTTTACAAAGTACAGACATTTCAATGCTCAAACATAAAAAACGAAATAAAACACTGTACTTGTTGAACACTCCATACGACTAGAAATATAAAACCCTTTTTATTGGAGCAATTCTCATTCTCTCTTTGCATTTCTGTTCTATTGCTATGATCCTGACTCTGTAGATCTCGGCGGAGTGCGCAACCCACACATTGATTGTTGATTATGACTTCGGCGGAGCAAGTGATCGACGCCGGCGGTTTAGGGACGATGTACGTGCAGATGCAATCCGAGTCTTCCACGTCGCCTTTGATGACACCTCATCAGCAGCAGAGATCTGAGGCGGCTCGGATTTTTGAGGAGTTACCCAAGGCTACCATCGTCCAGGTGTCTCGTCCAGACGTCGCCGATATCAGCCCCATGCTCCTTACTTACACAATTGAGTTCAAATACAAACAGGCAATACTTCTGCCCTTGATTCAATTCATTGTCAGATCGCCTTTCATGCATGTGGATTGGAAACCAGAACTGTCAAAAGTGTCGATCCCTTTAAACAACTACTCTGGTGTGAAATAAGGGATCGTTGAATATATTGGCTAGTATTCAGTGTTTTGGTTTTTCAGTTTGGGTTTACCATTTTAAAAGATATAATATGTTGTATAACGAACTCAAGAGTTATAGGACCTACACACTAATGTTTAAAGAGCCTAAGAAAGAGCTAAAACAACATTTTCAGGTTTTCACAACTTCACATTTTCAAGAGAAAACTAAAATGAACTCTCAAACAGGTAATAAAAAGTTAACTTCAGAATTTCAGGCTCTATAATTTGGTTGATTTATTTATTTTCTTTACTTTGTGATAGTCCGCACAAAGAAATCAACTTTATTTCTTCTGGTTTTCAGAATCTTGAGTTCGAATGGAACTTCGGTCACTGTGGGTCAATATCTACTAAACTTTAATCTTTCAATCTAAATTATTCCATATAACTTTTGTAAACTAAAAATGGGTTAGCATAAGGTCAGGTATGGCAGTGGAACATTTATTCAATTTTTTTCATGATGTGGGGGACAGTATAACGTGTTTGATGTGCTAACAAAATTTTCAGTCCTCATGAATGACAATTTAACTATGAACCAAGAATTAGTGGATGTAGTTATGTAGAAATCCATAATTGGTTTTGTGCAAATTGATGAGAGTTCCTTCTACGCAGTTGTCATTTCCCTCGTATTTTATGAAATAGCAGCTTTTTCACCTTGTTACACATAAAAACAAAAACGAATGAGAAGTTAACTTTTTTAGTAAAGTATTAAGCCACGGTTACTGTTTACCAACAAACAACATATTTTTTCATCCTTGAAACATTTACAGAGTAACTAGGGTGGGCATATATATTGTTGAATGTATATCCAGATGTGGTCATGAAATATATGATTCAACATCTGCATAATTCTATGACTGCTTTAGTATTTTCAACATTCCCGATTTTTAGGTTGACTCCCTTTTGCATCAAGTTGAAGATTCTGATGTTGTGAAGTATATAACATACTATTTTTTTTTTTATAGATGTGGCTTTAGTGCTGCACTGAAATTTGTTATTTGATGTCTGCAATTCATCATTGTTGTGTTCTGCAGTTCAAATGGCAATTAGTCAAGAAGGCTTCACAAGTGTTTTATTTACATTTTACGCTAAAGAGGCGGCTATTTATTGAGGAAATTCATGAGAAACAAGAACAGGTACTATATGATTTTCTATCAGTATATGGTAACCAATGTCTGCAATAGATTTTTTCTACTGTGATTAGTTGTAAGTAATATTAGAGTCTATAATAGTTCCCTGTTATAATGGTGGCAACTCTTTTTTTGTGGCATTTCATTTTTATTTTACAGGTCAAAGAGTGGCTTCAAAATTTAGGAATCGGGGAAATCATACCTATCATGCAAGATGATGATGATCCAGATGATGAAAATCTTCCATTGCGTACTGATGAAAGTGCAAGAAACAGGTGATTGTTAATTCTTTCGCCTCTCTTCTTAGAAGGAAAGCATGAGATCCACTGTTGCCCTTATAATACCTGTCATTCTTACAGGTGGTTTTTTGTTCAGAGATGTGCCATCTAGTGCTGCTTTGCCAATAATCCGCCCCACACTTTTAAGACAACATTCTATGTCAGACAGAGCAAAAGTAGCAATGCAGGGGTACTTGAATCACTTTCTTGGAAACATAGATATTGTCAATTCCCATGAGGTTTGTATACTATCTTAATACTCTGTATTTTCTTGTGCATTAGTCTGGTGAATATTGAATAATGATTGTAGCAGACTAGCTCGTGCACTATCATATCCGGCCAGGCAGCCACATATGTGGAAGGCAAACCACTATGCAACCTTATATAGTTATATCTATTTTCACAGTGGAGGAATTGGGGATCTTTTACATGCTATGTATGACATCATTGTCACCCATCACACATATAAGTTTGAGCTCAGTTAATAATTTAATAAACAGCTCAAGCTGAACCTGAGCTCAAATTTGATTGGACGTGACTCAAGCTTTTAGCTTTTGCCTAGTGATTGACTTGTCTGCACCTCCATTGTCGAGCAGGACTTAGGTCATTGTGTTAGTTTTGTAAATTGAGAAGAATTTTATTTTTTTTACATTTCCGTCAATAGTTTATTTGCCGGAAATATTTTCTTGATAACCTTATAATTCCAGCTTTAACTTCATGACTGATATGCATTAGGTTTGCAAGTTTTTGGAGGTTTCAAGTTTATCCTTCTCTTCAGAGTATGGTCCTAAGCTCAAGGAAGATTATATTATGGTAAAGCATTTACCCAAGATACGAAGCAGTGATGACCATAGGAAATGTTGTTCATGTAATTGGCTCTGCTGCTGTAAAGACAACTGGCAGAAGGTAGCATGACATCCTCTTGAAATCCTGAGTCCTGACTGAGACACATGTTTGAGCTGATTTTTCTTGCACTTAAGAACTATATACTATGTATCTGTTAGTCCTTAACACATCTCATTTTAATGCATGACATCCGTCCTATGAATAGTTATTTGAATCCGGGATTTCTTTTCGTCAATTTCCATAGCTAAAGTTATTTGTTGCTTTATTTATGAAGAGATGAGTCAGACATTTTTTTTTTTAATTCTGATGGTGCAGTGCAATGAAGCTATTTAGGTGATTTATTTGCATGAATAGATGGTGTTGCTAGCAGAGATGATAATGACTGTTGCCTTTACTATGTTTGCTTATTGTGTGCTGCAATATCAGTTTACCATGTTAATTTCTCATCAATAATGAATGTTCTATAACAATTTTCATTTGTATGTTTTATTACCCAACAAATGTATGTGCCAAAAGATGTACTCGTAGTGCTGTTTAAATTTTATGTGGGATTTATAGCATGAACATGAGTATGTCATGATTTTTTTTAGATTTATGCTGTTACTTTCATCTCTAGTTATCAAAGCTTTTGATTATTTACAGGTCTGGGCTGTACTGAAACCAGGATTCCTGGCCTTCCTTAAGGATCCCTTTGATGCTCAGCCTTTAGATATAGTTGTTTTTGATGTGCTGCCTGCCTCTGATGGTAATGGAGAGGGTAGATTATCATTGGCAAAAGAAGTGAAGGATGGCAACCCTTTACGTCATTATTTTAGGGTAATAAATGTACAAGCTTTTCTAAGTGTTCTTTGCTGATTATAGTATGTTCTCTACTTTGTTTGGATCTGAACATTGAAGTGAAAGTTGCAAATGTAGTTGGCCGGGGACGAATCATAGATACTTCCTTTGCGTTTCTGTGGAACTATTGTTTCTCATTCTTTTATTGCACTCCCAATGACCCAATCAAAACTGAATCTAAATATTTACTGCAACAACAACAACCGAACTGCAATTCTAATTGAATGGGATCGTCTACATAAAAAAAGAGATAACCCTCTGAGGACATCTGCAAATATGGTCCATCTCCCGCTCTTTTCTGTTATACGGTTATACCTCAAAGGTAATGAAATTCCAGTGTCATAATATCCATCTCACAACCTCGATCCATGTCACTTTTGATTTAGCTCACATCCTTTTTAGATATCTGTCGTTCTAATGACCTACTCTCAGTATTGGAGCACATACCTTTGGACGTCAAATATTCCCCAAGCAACATCATTGGTTTTCTCTTTACATTAATTGTCCACTCTTTTCTGTCATACATCAAATCCTAATGAAGATCTAGCACCTTAATGTCCATTTTACACCCTTGATTCATTTAACTTTCTATCGACCTCACCTCTTTTTAGATATCTACTGTTCTAACACTCCACTGTCTGCACTGGAGTCTGGAGCCATACCTTTGGATGTCATTGCATCAATTTCCCGAAATAACATAATTGGTTTTCTATATGCATTCTGTTGTTGTAGCTTGAGCACTCCCACCTTTCATGTATCTCTTTGTTGTGAACTTTATCTTTTCCAGTATCTTTACATGTCCATCGCAAGCATATACATCTCTCAAACTCATTTTCTTCATAAGATCTTTCTTAATTACCACACACCCCTGTCCTTATAACAAAGCTGCTTTAATAATGCTCCGATAGAATATCCTCTCTGTCATAAATGCACGTGTTACCATGCAATACTTTTTCGCACTTCGTTTTTAATCTTTTCAACATGCATTCATCTTTTGCGTCAATCTTGATCAATCTCCAGTGTTAATGATAAGTGCTGAATATTTCATACAGCTGCTTACTAGTAACTCTATCTCATCCAGTTTCACTTCACTTTGTTCATTATTTTTAATATTGCATAAATCTCACTCTAAACACTAGGTTGTACTTTGGGTCATCCTAAAACCCCTGTGATTCTCCTTGTTGTCTCCATCAGCATAGCTCTAGTTTTTCTGTGGACTCATTTACCAATTTTACATCATCAAATCTGAATTAACATACACTGGCATTTCAAATTTTGTAAGTGATTTTTTTAAATATGTTTTTTTTTTCTTTTATTTTTTTGGAGTGGGGTAGTGATATGGAAAGAAATAAAGTATACTGCAATTCTGTGAACTACTAAAATTATTTGTTAAAGGTAACTTGTGGGATGCGAAGCATCAAGCTAAGAGCAAAGAGTAATGCTAAAGTCAAAGATTGGGTGGCTGCAATAAATGATACTGGACTTAGACCACCCGAGGGTTGGTGTCATCCTCATCGTTTTGGATCTTTTGCTCCTCAACGAGGCTTAGTGGAAGATGGCAGCCAGGCTCAGTGGTTTGTTGATGGTCGGGCTGCATTCGAAGCCATTGCTCTTGCAATTGATGAAGCAAAATCAGAGGTTTAAAAACCCGTTTTGTTTTTAGTGCATCATTCAATATTGTAACTTTTTTGCCAGTAAGGATGTGGTGCTTGGTTTCTGGCACAGATATTCATTTGTGGCTGGTGGGTTTGCCCAGAACTGTACATGCGGCGCCCTTTTGATACCCATTCTTCTACCCGGCTTGATTCTTTACTGGGAGCCAAGGCGAAACAAGGTGTTCAGGTAGTTGTTTCTCGGTTATATTAATGCTCAACTTTCATTTGATATCTCAAACTGATATCATTGCATTCATCACTTGTTGACACTCAAATATCTTGAGTGCTATTGCAACGTATCAATCATTTAGTTTGGAAATATTTGTTTGAGAATGCTACAGCATCTTATAGGTGTTTTTTAATTATTTAGCATCATCACTCATCTGAAGTTGGATTAGCTACATTCATTTATTTTGGTCTAGGTCCTCCAGGACCAAGACATAGTTTGTACTGTTATGCAATATGAAGAAAACAATCACTTTTTCTTAGCATTAATAATGGTCCTAACGAAGTGCGTATTCCATTTTTGGCATCTACAATAACTCAAAAGGAGCATAAGAACATGTTGATCTAGCGTGTTTAGAATTCATCCATTGGTTATTGCTCTTTGGGGTTTGCAGTTACCAAATGCTTTGATTGTTTTATTATGTATCTCATTGCTTCAGATTTACATTCTGCTATACAAGGAGGTTGCTCTTGCTTTGAAAATCAACAGTGTGTATAGCAAGCGGAAGCTCTTAGAAATTCATGAAAATGTTAGAGTACTTCGTTATCCTGATCATTTTTCAAGTGGTGTCTATTTATGGTATGCATAACTAAAAGATTTTGGTTTCCAGATCACCAGATGTTAATGTCATCTGCCTCTGCTAATTCCAATTTATGCTTATTCATAGGTCTCATCATGAAAAAATTGTCATTGTCGACCATCAAGTTTGTTTTATTGGTGGCCTAGATCTTTGCTTTGGTCGTTATGATTCATTTGAACACAAAGTCGGCGATTGTCCACCTCTTATTTGGCCTGGCAAAGACTACTATAATCCAAGGTATTTTTTTAACATTCATATCTTTAACTCCTTACTTTTATCTTTGACATATATGAAATTTTCTTTTATGGTCTGCTAGTTTATTAAATAAAATATTTAGTTCTGCTGTTCTGCAATGTATATATAGGTATATCTGGGCATGTGAGATATTTTACTTTGTTATTTACTCTGTAATAGATAAAGCTGATCTGCTTTTATGCGTTTCACAATTCGGACCATACATCTTTCTGTCTATCCTTTGTCTTGCGTCATTTTTAATGCATTTTCCACAATACAGGTCTTTGTCATACATAATATTTCCCCAGTTGCTCATGCAATTTTATTTCAATTGGGCTTGGGGTACACACAACTTATACACACACCTACACACTATAAATAGACCCAAAAATTACCATTTTTTTACCCCTCTCCCTCCCTTACACGCAAATACAACCCACCCTCTCTTCCCCCACTCCCTCCCGCGTCGTCCTTTCTTGTACCCGCAGCACACCTCAACGCATAACAAGCTTCAAAATCAATGGAATCAATAGATTTTGGTGGCTGAAGTTGAGGGAGAACCGGCGGTGGCGACTGAAGTTGACGGAGAACCGGCGGTGGCGGCTGAAATTGACGAAGAACCGGCAGTGGCGGCTGAAGTTGAGGATGAACCGGCAGCGGCGGCTGAACGTGATGGAGAACCGGCGGCGGCGGCCACGGACGACGTCCCTGAACTTGGCGGCGGCCATGGACGACGTAACAGCACAAACAAGATTTTTCTTCTTCACAGACAACTACGACACAAATCACAGACAAAGTCATATAACAGCAAAAACAAGATTTTTCTTCTTCACAGACGCACAATAGACAGTGGATTACATATACTAGTAGTTTTTAAACAACTAGTTAATTTTTAAGATTAAACTAATAATCTGTAAACTTATTGAACACCTCAAAATTACACATGGGCTCTAGTGGTAATCAAAGTAATAATAGTTTTAGTTATTAATTACATAAAGTAGTTATTAAAAATATTTTAAGAGGATGTAAGAGCGGATAACAACACAAACAAGATTTTTCTTCTTCACAGACAACTACGACACAGATCACAGACAAAGTCGTATAAAAGCACAAACAAGATTTTTCTTCTTCACAAGCAAAGGTAACCATAATCAGTAAGTGTGTGCCACAAAAACAAAAAGGTATACCAATTCAGGTAATATTTGGGAGTACATTCTAGGACATTGTACAACACTCTTACTATAACATTGTACAACCTCCTACATCGACGTTGGTTCTATAAAAACTCCGGATGTTGGCAACCTAACATCTATCCCACAACCGAGAAGTAGTGTGCAAGGTGAGATACATAGCACAGACAAATACAACACAAATGACAGACAAAATGGTATTACACCATACGTAAATTTTTTCTTCTTCACAGACGCGCAATAGACAATGGATTACATATACTAGTAGTTTTTAAACAATTACGGAGTAGTTACTAAAATAAACAATTAAAGTTTTTTAGATTAAACTAATAATCTGAAAACTTATTGATCACCTCAAAATTACACATGGTCTCCGGTGGTAATCAAAGTAATAAAAGTTTTAGGTATTAAATTACATAAAGTAGTTATTAAAAATATTTTAAGTGGATGTAGAGCGGATACATAGCACAGACAACTACGACACAAATCACAGACAAAGTCGTATTTCAGCACAAACAAGATTTTTCTTCTTCACAAGCAAAGGCATCCCCCATATATATTAACACCATAAACAATAAGTGTTTGCCACAAAAACAAAAAGGCATACCAATTCAGGTAATATTTGGGAGTACATTCTTGGACATTGTACAACATTGTTAGGGTAACATTGTACAACCTCCTACATTTAACAACCAAACCCATGGTGGCAAAAAATGAGCACAAAAAAATGTACTCCATAGTAAGGTTACATCAATGTTTTACAACCAAACTCATCCTACACTAAACATGTAGACCAAAGTAGTCTAAGTGGATCTTCCTCAAAGTCCAGAGCCTCATTGCAAATGCACATCTTTTCGCTGCCATGTTCTCATATTACACTCGGGCTGCAATTACAAGTTCTGCATCAATGACTCGGCAAAGGCCATAACCGTCACATCACAAACACCGGATCTGGACATAAAAGAATTCATACAAACATTACATTTACATTATTTTTGTGTACAAACAAACATCATATCCACAGAACATGAATATCCACAAACACTATGTACAGACAAACATTATATACTGCCTCCGCTCCCCAAGTGCCGTGTGATTGTAATAAAATAAATCATAAGGGCACAGACATATGTTAAGTCACACAGACAAGCATTCGACTAGATACAGACAAAGAACCAAGTCACACAGGCATATATATGGAAACTTATGTTTAACTTTTATTATTACAGGGGCTGTCATTTCTATTTTTGTCATTACAGGCCTACAAGGGGCGAGTTTTGAAAACATGAACAACTCAATTGGGCACAAAAATGTTGTTTACCACAAAAGCAGAAAACATATAAAATATAATGTGAGAATTTTAAAACTTTATTTGTCATAATTTCATAAGTCATAACTTCATAAGCCATACTTTAAGAAACATACTTCAAAGTATTACAAAGTAACATACACTCAATGTGAGAATTTCATTTTTAATAGAACTACAAATAACTTTATAAATTTAATAGTAATAAAAGAAGTCAATTCATTGTGTTTTAATTATGCAACTAAGTTGATTATTTTTTATTTTCAAAACATTCTTTCAACATTCCGCATGATTTTAAGGTACCCGAAGTCCAAATTAACCAAGATATTTTGGAGAAGTGAACCACAATTGAACAACACATTGGAAAATTCATTACTTTTCAAAAGTCCTAGACATTTTTTCATTTGGACCTGTTTTAGTAGAGTCACACAGACAATCATATTACTCACACAGACATATGCAGAGTCATACAGACAATCATATAAGTCTCCACAGACAAATGGAGCCACAACCAATTACATATACTTACACAAACAAATAACTAGACAAATTTATCTTCACACAAACATACATAAGTCCTTCAAAATGCATAAAATTAACCTTACACAGACAATACATAGAAAGTAATGACATATCCCCAAACAAATGTATATTGTTCAAAATCCAAGCACCAGATGGGTTCCAAAACTTCATAAACAAAAATATTTTCTGAACCCTCCAAATAAACATCATCAACTGCCTAAAATTGTAAAAAAAATCCAAAGATAGAGGATACATACCTTTCGGCCATGGAAGAAAGCGGGGTTCACACCATTTTTCGATTGAGACAAAATAAACTGCTTCGATGGGGGGGGGGGTCGCACCTTGGAATGCGCAACGACGATGGCCGCCTTCGACGGAGGTTGGCGGGGAGGAGGTTGCCTTCGACGGGGGGTTGCCGGGGACGAGGGTTGGCTTCGTCGGGTGTTGGCGGCGACGAAGAGCTTCCAGCTTCCATCTTCTTTCAAAGCAAAATTGATCGGAGGAAGAAGGGGAAGGCTGTGGCGGTTCGAAAGAAGGGAGAAGGTGGGGATGTGCGGAAATTTTGGGAGGCAAAGTGTCAAACGTGTGAAATTGGAAGAGGTTAGGGAAAGGGGGTAAATTATTTTTAGGGGTATTTATAGTGTGTATGTGTGTGTAGAGAAAGTGTGTAACAATAGAAAAATTGATTTTATTTTCAGGGAATCTGAACCAAACACATGGGAAGATACTTTGAAAGATGAGTTGGACCGGACGAAGTATCCTCGCATGCCCTGGCATGATGTCCATTGTGCTCTTTGGGGACCACCTTGCCGTGATGTGGCTAGACACTTCGTTCAGCGCTGGAACTATGCCAAGGTTCTTATTTTTTCATAAAAAAGATTATATCTATGGAAGTACTTTTTTTAAGGTTAGGCACTATTTTTGCAATTTTCAGCGAAATAAAGCTCCCTATGAGCCCACGATTCCACTACTTATGCCTCGACATCACATGGTTATTCCCCATTACATGGCAATTGACACAGAGACACACACTAGTAATACAGATGTTATTACTGCTTCAAGTATCAAGAGACACGATTCATTTTCCTCTCAATCATCTTGCCAAGACATTCCTTTGCTCATGCCTCAAGAAGCTGACGAAATGGATATAAGGGGAGGACTAAAGTCGTATGCCTTCACTCCTGGGCATGATTTCCATGACCAGCCAAATGGGTCAGCTAGCATTTCTTTCCCTTTTCGGAAGGCCAAAGCAGAACCCTTTTTGCCAGGCATGCCAATGAAAGCATTTGTCGATGAAGTTAATGTCACTGATCTTCACAGAAAGCCGTCTTCTGGTTTGATGCATCCTGGAACTAGAGCCTCAGATAAGGAGTGGTGGGAAACACAGGAGCGTATTAGTCAAGTTGTTCCGTCTGATGAAACTGGGCAAGTTGGTCCCTGTGCTCTATGTCGTTGTCAGGTGAGATACTCTTGCAGTGTCTAATGGAGACAACTTAATTGTATGTTGCATGTTACATTATGTAAATTCATAAATAACTAGTTGTACTACCTTAGATAGAATATCTAGATTCTGGGGATAATTATTTTTTGATTCAGTTTCCATAATTAAGGTGATATGGGTTATATACCTATACTACTACTACAACAACAACAACCTCCTAGCCTTAGTCCCAAAAGATATTGGGGTCGGCTAACATGAATCGATACATGATATCACCACCAAATGGAAAAGAAAGAAAAAAATAAATAAAAGATAAGCTATTATAAAAAAGATAATATAAAAAGAGATGAATATACCTATATTTTAGTTTAATGAAATATAGACTTTCTCTACCAGTTTATGACAGTCTTTTTGGTTTAGTGCTAGTCAGGACGAGTGGAAGACCAATAGAGTCCCACATTAATCATTATTGCTTGCGGAACTAATATTTCTTTTCCGCTGTACACATCATTTATTATGTTCATATGTTCATACTTCATATTCGTCAGTATAACGCTTACACAAAAGTTCGGTGGTTTTATTTGATTATACTTAACTTTTGTTCCAGATCATAAGAAGTGTTAGTCAATGGTCGGCTGGGACCAGCCAAATTGAAGAAAGCATACACAATGCATACTGCACTCTCATTGAGAAGGCAGACCACTTTATTTATATTGAGGTTTGTTATAGTCATCTCAATTTTAAATAGGGGGAACGGCCAATTCGGTCCTGTTTTATTCGATGATTTGATCCTCAGAATGTTGGGAACAGTCCTAGACATAAACTGTTATGATGATTAGTGGTTCTTATGACTAACCAATGTTAGACCCCCCAAGCTGAGGGACCATATAAGCTACAGGCAGGGACTAACTCTTCTATTCTCATACCAAAGTTATTCTTAAATAGACTTTTTTCTCTTTTCCTTTATATATGAGCAAACTCATTCTTTCTCACTGGCTCTTTTTGGGTTGGAGGGTGGGGGTGGTTAACTGTGGCGGGAGAGGGAATGACATTTTTTAGTCTTGTATCTATGGAGGCTCTTTAACTATCCTGACTTGTAATGGAAAATTTTCCCAGAATCAATTTTTCATCTCAGGTCTCGTGGGAGATGAGATTATAAGGAATCGTGTATTGGAAGCATTGTGTAAGAGAATCATGCGAGCTTACAATGAGAAAAAGTCTTTCAGGGTTATTATCGTTATACCGCTTCTACCTGGATTTCAGGTATGGGTGCTGTATAGACTGTCGCTGGCTTCTCTGCCCCTCTAATTTTTTCTTGATTATTTTTACCATATCTTTTTTTTTTCTTCTGAAGTATTAAATTTGACAGGGTGGTTTGGATGATAGTGGTGCAGCATCTATAAGAGCTATCATGCATTGGCAATATCGTGCAATATGCAGGGGAAATACCTCGATTTTGCACAATCTGAGTGATCTTATTGGTCCCAGAGTGCATGATTATATATCCTTTTACGGTCTCAGATCTCATGGTAGACTGTTTGATGAAGGTCCTGTGGTTTCTAGCCAGGTGTGTTTTTCTTCCTTTTTGGCCTGCTGCAGTTTGCATATTTTTAAAGGGCATGTATTTTTCTGCACGTTATGTCCCCTTTAATGTTAGCTTAATTTGTTCTACCTTCGTAGTTTCTTTGGAAAGAATGTTTTTCTTGCAGCAGTAAGAAAATAACATTGCTTCGAATGCACATGCATGTGACATTTTTTATTTGTTATTGTAATTTAAGAATGTGTGCATTCATTGTGCATGTTACAAAACTACAAATTATTCGGGACCTATCGGATTTTGCACTACTATAAAAAGGTAACAAACTAACAATGTATGACATTACTTAACTTTAGTATTTGTAGAATGACCGTTATATTAGGAAAATAGGAACATTAATGATCCACACATACACATGATATGCATGTGCATTTAAAAAGAAATCTCTAACCAGCTTAAGCTACCATCGAAATAATAAGAAACTGTTATGTTAATATGTTAGAACTACTTCAAAGTGATGGAAGATAACAAGATATGGCAAGCCAGTTTAGCCACATTAAAAAACCTTGTAGTGATTATCTATTGATCCGTGGTTTGTCAATTCTAAAGGTGTATGTGCATAGCAAAATCATGATAGTTGACGACCGCACAGCCTTGATTGGATCCGCAAATATTAATGACCGGAGCTTGCTTGGCTCCAGAGACTCTGAGGTACTCTAGTACTTAGGGAAAAGGTGCAAATAGGCCCATGTACTAACCAGAAAAGGTCAAATAAGCCCTTATTTAGGAGGCTCTGTCCGGCCGTCGTCATTTGGGGTGGTTCCCAGTGGAATTTTTTGATGAATTTTTTTTAGCATCTTATTCATCAAGTCTAGTTTACTCATACCAAATTTCAGCTAAAACTTCAATCGGGAAGGCATTCAAATGAATTCTTGAAGATAACTACGCTTCTAACTGCGCAGTTATTTTCAAGAATTCATTTGAATGCCTTCCCGATTGAAGTTTTAGCTGAAATTTGGTATGAGTAAACTAGACTTAATGAATAAGATGCTCAAAAAATTTCATCAAAAAACTCCACCGGGAACCACCTCAAATGGCGACGGCCGGACAGAACCTCCTAAATAAGGGCTTATTTGACCTTTTTTGGTTAGTGCATGGGCCTATTTGCACCTTTTCCCCTAGTACTTATCTTCTTTATGTTGCCATTATGTTTTTATTAATGGATCTTGGATATTAAAATTGTGTATAGGAACTTGGTCATGTAATATGAGGAATAGTTTACTCTGATGATTGTAAAATGATCAAATGTCAAACATTATCATGTTCTCTCACTCAATCCAGAGCAGTTGTGTTGAAAGCTACTTTTATCTACCACAATTTCTTCCTTGCAGATTGGTGTAGTTATTGAGGACAAAGAATTTGTTGACTCATACATGGGAGGCAAACCATTTAAGGCTGGGAAATTTGCATCAAGTCTTCGCCTCTCACTATGGTCTGAGCATCTTGGTCTTTGTGTTGGAGAGGTTCTAATCTGTTAACAATTTTAAGCATCATCTCTAGCGCATGGTGTTCTATATTTTTAATATGCTGATTATTTGTTCTGGTATTCAGATGGGTCAAATTACTGATCCAGTGATTGATTCAACATACAAGGATATGTGGATGTCGACTGCAAAGGTAAGAATGCTAAAATCTTCATTTGATGTCACATCATATTGGTAGTGAAAGTGTGTCCATAATGAAGTGCAACTTAGATGCCTGATATGACAGCTTTATGTTATCTATTTCTCCTGAGTTCATTAATTGAACCAGTTGGGATAACAATCAAATAAGATACATTTATACGTTGTATCTCAATTAACTCTTGAGTATATGGTTGGGGGGCATGCACTGCATTTCCATCCATATTTCTTGAACAGTGCAGGCTGCCTTGACATCATCTTAAACATGTTTAATTCTGTATTTTATTTTGGTGGAAGAACAATTGCACGGGAAAAGCAATGAACAAGTAAAACTATTTACAAAATGGGAAACCTTCATCATCACATTTATTGTTTAATACTAAATCGACAAGGCTCTATATTGAAGATTAATTGCTCAGATCAAATCATTCTATCGATTACTAGAAATAAAATATATTGGAATGTTTGGTACCATAATTTGTGTGGACATTCTGTTGGACTGCCTTGTTTGTGTAGTTGGTATTCTATGTCTATAACTTTTTTAAATGGTTAAAGTGCATTGATCTTGCGTTATTTTATTTATTTTCCTTTTTTATCTGCTTGGGACCTCCTTCAAACTTACCAAGAATGTGATCTGCAGACAAACACAATGGTTTTCCAAGATGTCTTTTCTTGTATACCAAACGATCTTATACAGTCCAGGTATATAGTTAATCAGCTATATCTTGCATTCTCTTTTATCACTGGACAATTATTCTTTCACCTTTCACATTACACATACATGTCATTTACTTCATTTAATGTCCATGCAGGGCTTCTCTAAGGCAGTGCGTGGCTCACTGGAAAGAGAAGATTGGTCACACAACAATTGATTTAGGAATAGCCCCGAACAAATTAGAGTCTTATCAAGATGGAGATATCAAAGAAACAGATCCCATGGAAATGTTAGAGTCTGTAAGGGGTCATCTCGTTTCTTTTCCACTGGATTTTATGTGCAAAGAAGATCTAAGACCCATGTTCAATGAAAGCGAGTACTATGCTTCACCTCAAGTCTTTCACTAGACATGGTTGGTTGTACAGTGCAGGAATATACGTATTTTGATTTATTTGTCTAAAAAAACATAGCTAGCAAAAATCTGCAGCCTTGTGGAATAGCAGCAATATATAGGAACAGACCACCCCGCTACCACAGTTGGGTGCACGTTCACCATTTCTTTCAGCTGTGGCTTATTCCTTTACCTGATTCTTAGCATGCGCGGAAATGTTTATTTGCATGGTTTGGGAATACTTGTTGTAAACAAAGGAAAGGATGATGTAGATTATTAACGTGTTCATAAGGATGATGTATTATTTTTCAATAATACCCGTGGTTTACTTCTGCTTATTTTGTTCATTTACCCCTTTCTCTTTCCTACTTTTTCATTTACCCACTACTCATTACACCTTTTTACACTACCCCTACTACTTTACTCTTAAAACCCGTGCCAAAGCCTAAGGAGACTAATAAAAAAGAACGGAGGAAGTATAAAAGACGAGTGGGTTATATAGACTTGTTTTTAGAGAATAAATCGCCAAACAATATTAACAATATTAGAGCAAGCATCAGCAATGAAGTACTTTAATTACTTTTTAGTGAACCGACTACACATTAAACTACAAAAAACACTTCCGATGCAGAAGTCTCAGTCCAGCTATAGTGTCAAATTATTTTTTTTTTAAATTAAAATAAGAGTAAATTTAATTTTTTTTGTTTGAATTATAGACTGGTCGGCTGCCCTGTAATTCTGTAAATATAAGGCCATGACATACTCTGTAATCTGTATTATACTTCCTTATTTGTATTATAGATTGATCGCCCCTCTCTCTTATTTGTAGTACGAAGTATTTTTTACTTTCACCCATCTAGGCCTGGACTCGGGCCGGGCGGCCCGCCCCGGAACCGGCCCGCCCCGGTCACTGTTTGAACCGGCCTGGCCCGGGAACTGGTCGGGGGCGGTTCGGGTCGACCCGGCCCGGTAGTCCAGCGGTTCGGTCTCGGGCCCTTCAAATGGCGAACCGGCCCGGCCGGGCCGGGCCCGGTTCGGGCCTAATAGCTCTGTTTTTTAATTTTTTAATTTTTTAAATTATTTGATGGCATCTAGCCATTGGGAGACCTCCCAAACGGCTCTATAGCCGTTGGACAGGGTGGGAGGGGGGGTCCAGGGGTTTTGGGGGTGGGGGGTGGTGATAAAAAAAACTTATTTATACTCCTATTTTCTATACATTTTTTACACCTCTTCTCCAACTCTTCCTACTCTCTAATTCTCTATTCCCTCATACTCTTAAATCTTAATCATCTCCATCTTCATCTTCTCCAAACCTCTCTCTCTCTCTCTCTCTCTCTCTCTATATATATATATATATATATATATATATATATATATATATATATATATAATTATTATATCTACTTATATATTAATTATCTACTTATATACATATATTATATTACTAATATTTATTATCTACTTAATATATATTTATTATCGTCTTAATATTTACTTTGATATCTACTTATCATCTACACTTATTGTTATTTACTTATATATTAAATTATTAATTATCTACGTTACATACATATATTATATTACTTATATTCCTTATCTACTTAATCTCTACCTATTATCTACTTATATATATTAAAGTATTATATATAAGTGTATTACTCATCTTATAGTAATATAGTATATACTTACATATTATATACTATAAACATTATATTATATATTAGTTATAAAATAATCTACTTATATACCTATATTATATTACTAATATTTATTATCTACTTAATATATACTCAAATTACTTATTATCTACTTATACATCTCCATCTTCATCTTCTCCAAACCTCTCTACATATATATTATTTATATAATTATTATATCTACTTATATATTAATTATCTACTTATATACCTATATTATATTACTAATATTTATTATCTACTTAATATATACTTATTATCCACTTATACATCTCCATCTTTTTAATATTTACTTTGTTATCTGTATTTATTGTTATTTACTTATATATATTAAAGTATTATATATAAGTGTATTACTCATCTTATAGTAATATGCTTATATATTATATACTATAAACATTATATTATATATTAGTTATACAATTATATTAGTTACACTTGAATTCATAGTAATTAAATTCATCGTATTAGTTAATTTTTACATTTTTCATTAAAGTATAAAACTAGTTAATTGTTACATTTTTCATTAAAGTATAAAACTAGTTAATTGTTACATTTTTCATTCAAGTATAAAACTAGTTAATTGTTACATTTTTCATTTAAGTACAAAACTAGTTAATTGTTACATTTTTCATTAAAGTACAAAACTAGTTAATTGTTACATTTTTCATTCAAGTATAAAACTAGTTAATTGTTACATTTTTCATTCAAGTATAAAACTAGTTAATTGTTACATTTTTCATTAAAGTATAAAACTAGTTAATTGTTATATTTTTCATTAAAGTATATAACTAGTTAATTATTAATTGTTGCATTAAAGTTTAAACTAATAAAAGTAGTTAATTTTATTAGTCGCATTTTATTATTACTATTGTACTCATATCAAAACATTTGATATCATATAATATTTGTTACATTTTAAAGATGGACCGTGCCAGACATTCCGTAGATGTGGGTAGTCTCCAACGCAACCGAAGGAAGAAGATTGCGACAAGTCATCCTAGTTTACGCAAAGGCATAGGTAAAGGGCGGGCCGGGTCTTCTTCTCAAAGTCGAGAAGATTTTGATGAGGGATACCAAAGGCGAGATGGGGATGCGATGTCCGACGAGAAACTACAACAACTATTGGCGAAAAATGATGGTCGCTTTTTCCAACAACAAAACATCCGGAGTCCATTGATGAAGAGGAGCTCGAGGATGACGATGCGGAGGAGGACGAGGGGGGCGACGGGACTCACGGCACCCCGGATGATGAGCAAGAGTTGGAGGATGAGGGCGGTCCATCCCAAGTTGGTAAGAAATCTAAATCTCCTATTATAGAAAATAATTTTACAAAGAGGAAAGACCCAAAAACCGATAAATGGTACGCAAGTTGCGATCATTGCAAGAAGGAGTATAGCTTGGGAACTTCCGGCGGATACGGGAGCCTCAAAAGGCATCTTAAGTCCGCGCACTCTATGGAGTATGCGAAAATAGACAAAGGGAAGGGGAAGCAAACTCAAATATTGAGGTTTGCAAATGACCAACCTTTTGGCTAAGAATGTTCCCGATTTTGGCACAGATGACTAAGCAAGTGCTATCAATGCCGGTTTCAACAGTTGCCGTGGAACAAGAATTTAGTTCGGCCGGCAACGTTCTAACGGCATCTAGAACAAGTTTGAGCGCTGAGTCTCTTGAGACGCTATTATGCTACCACGATTGGTTGAAGGCCATACGTAGATGTCAAGAAGTTAGCATCATCCCCTCCCAAGACTTTATGGATGAATCAACAACCGAGGGTGGCTCCTATGCCGGAGATTCCGATTGATTAATATTTTACAGTTTATTGTAAAATGTATTTCATGTTTTAATTTTTCCTTCAATTCTCTATTGTAATTTGTAAAGTTGTATTTCATATTTCAAATAAATATACATTCTTTTTTTTATATGTAGCACTTCTCAAATTAATTAATTAATTAATTGGTTACAAACATACAACTTACAACTTAGAATTTATTGTATTAGTATTTTTTGAAAAATGTATTTCATATTTAAGTTGTATTAAAAAGATAAAAAAAAAATATAACCTAGGCCCGAACCGGAACCGGGCGAAGGACGGGCCGGTTCCGGGGCCCCCTTTATCGGACCGGAGGCCCGACCGGGCCTAGGCCCGGCCCGAACCGAGTCCAGCCCTACTCCCATCTGCATGTAATCGTAAGCAAAAAAATCATTTGTCTACTCTAGCGATCACAAGAAGAAATCAATTCTGTATGTTATGCATATACGAGTACATAATACATATTCCATAGATCAGTAGTGAATGTTTTAGTTTCAGCATAAAAAATTATTACTTAATAGATTGGTATGCATCGTCACAATTTCACGCTCACCTTCCGGTTCTAACTAGACCTGTCAATGGGTCGGGTACGGGCCGAAACATAGTATCCCAGACCCGGACCCGTTAGCTTCTACAGGGTTCCAGACCCGACCCATATACCCGGCGGGCCTAGAACTAATGTTCCGGACCCATACCCATTGGGTCTCGGAACCGGGTCGGGTAGACCTGACCCGTCTCACGAAAATCCAATTCTAATTTCTTAAATAAAAAACATGATCTCTTACTACCGAGTACTTTTCTGGCAACAATATGGTACATGAACTATTATTACTTGTTTGTAACTACTCAACCAAAAGTAACAATTTAAACATGAAAGTTCCAGATCTACACATTCAAAATGTAACACATAAGGTGCACTGGTTTTGCCACGGGGGAATAAACATAAGTTCTACAAAAACGTAAGTTTAATGTAACGAATAAGGTGCATTGGGCAACTGCAAAAACATAAGTTATCCAGGCCAAAAGCCTCTTTGAATCTGTGATAATAAAAATAACAAAAAATAAAATAACTCCATCTGACTTTTAAAATAGCATAATTACAAAAGCATACTCCAGTAAGTTGATTAACTTGATTTCACTTTGAAAAGAGCATTCCTTTAATAATTTACATTCTGCAAAAACATCCTGGTACTAGAATTATGACTCTTCCAGTGTTCTTCTACTACAAGTGTAGAATAATTTTGCCTTCTTTGAGAATTTTGAGTTTGTTTATAATTTGCAAGATACGTAGTGTTAAAATAAAGAGTAAAATTAATGACTTTGGAAACTGGACAAGCTTTTTCTTGAATCCTCTGCGGTCTAGAAACTCTAGCTTAGGGATCCTTCTTAGGATTTATTAAACTAAATCATAATGTGGGTGGCAGCTAATCTAACAGGTATATTAGACTAATGTATATATACAAATAAGAATTAACGGGTCGGGTCCTAAACAGGTCGGAACTACATATACCATACCCGTCTCATCAAATAACGGGTCCAGATCCGGGTCCGGGTAACGGAATTAAATGTAGACCCATACCCATTAAAAAAAGACGGATCCGGGTCGGGTTCGGGTCTGGAGACTGGACCCGACCTGTTGACCGGCCTAGTTCTAACATCACTTGATTGAATCTGTATCTAATTTGTGGCAACGCTAGGGCCACTTGAAACAAATTGTTGTTTCCCAACCTGCTGCTCAATACCATGCTTTCTTTCCTTCACCGCTTAAAAACAAATGAAGGCCGATTCGTCCTCCACTTTACAGATCAAGCAATCTCCTAGCACCTAAACCAACATGT